CCCTCCCCCCCCCGCCCATCTCCACTGAACTCATCTTGTCCCCCGCCTAACCCCCACATCCACTCCACATCCATCTGCTCCTGCCTCAGAAAATGCCCCGTCCTCCCGCCCGCTGTCCCAGCCTCCATCCCAGTCTGTGTTTTGTTCCCCTGGATAAAGCGACCTCTGCCGTGTCCTCCCTGCCTCCTGGGGTCCGCGCAACCCTGAAACCCACCGATCCTGACCCACCCACCAGCTCCGTTTCCTCAAACCCTCTGGTGAGGAAGCACTCTGTGCCCCAGTCATGAGCAGAGGCACTCCCCCGTCCCTGCACTCTCTCACCCCCGCGACGGCCAGGATTCAGCAACTCTGAGTTCAGGGAGGAAAAACTCCCACTTCAGCACCCTTGATCCTTCTGGTTAGCTCAAGGAGGTTTCAATTGGTGCCAACTCGCCTGCAAAGGCTCTCTTGCTGACTCTCTTATTAACAGCAAAAGAGCGTCTTCAGGCTCTCAGCACCACGTAAGACACTCTCTTTCCCATGTGCATTTCCACATGTGTCCTCAATAATAATCCAGCAGCAAGACAGGCAGCTTCCTCTCGGTAACAGGGATGGTGAGTTCCCCCCACTTTTTTTTTTCTTTTGAGTTGGAGTCTCACTCTGTCGCCCAGACTGGAGTGCAGTGACCACTCCCAGCCACCGCAGCCTCGACCTGCTGCTCTGGCGATCCTTCCGCCTTAGCCTTCCAAGTAGCTGGAACTACAGGTGCGCACTACCATGCCCGGCTAATTTTTTGATTTATTGTAGAGATGAGGTCTCGCCAAGTTGCCCAGGTGGGTCTCGAACCCGCAGTCTCAGGCAATCCATTCACCTCAGCCTCCCAAAGACACGGGATTACAGGCTGAGTTCCCCTTTGAAATGCGTCAAGGGAGATGGAAAGCAGGCTGACTCCTGCATGCTAGTGGGAGTGTCTGTTGGCTCAGTCACTCTGGAAAACTATTTGGCAGCATCCATTAAAGTGGAGCAGATGCATGCCCTGGATGCTGCAGGCCCAGCCCAGATACTCACCAAGAGGAGCGAGGCCCCAGGTCCACACGTGTGGACATGGACAACAGTGGCCACCGTATTCATAATAACTTGTGACAACAAAGGGTTCCCATTCACCGTCGACAGCATTATATGCATAATTAAAACATCAACAACCCAGTTGTCTGTCAATACGAGAATGGAGAAATAAACTGTGGTTCATTCATACTTGGCAGTAGGAGGAGCAAAGGAAAAAAATACAGGCAACAGCATGGATGAATATATATATATATATATATAAAAGTGTATTTATGGCCAGGCACAGTGGTTCATGTCTGCAGTCCCAGCACTTTGGGAGGCTGAGGTGGGAGAGTCACTTGAGCTCAGGAGTTCGAGACCAGCCAGGGCAACATAGCAAGACTTTATCTTCCCAAAAAATCAAAAACTACACCAGGCATGGTGGCACATGCTTGTAGTCCCAGTTACGTGGAAAGCTGAGGTAGGAGGATCACTTCAGTCCAGGAAACTATATCATTATAAGTGTGATATGTTTATAATATAAATATAATATAAAAGTTTCACATATGATCTCTATAATATGGTCCTGTATGGATATATATGACTGACTGAAAACACACAAAGGAGTACATACATGGGACTTTACTGATATTAAGGAGTCTGGGACAGCCGGGCATGGTGGCTCAAGCCTGTCATCCCAGTACTTTGGGAGGCCAAGGTGAGTGGATTGCCTGAGCCCATGGGTTCAAGACCAGTCCTGACAACTTGGCGAGACCTCATCTCTACAATAAATCAAAAAAAGCCTGGTGTGGTAGCACACGCCTGTAGTTCCAGCTACTTGGAAGACTGAGGTGGAAGGATTGTCAGAGCCCAGCAGGTCGAGGCTGTGGTGGCCATGAGCATGCCACCCCACTCCAACCTGGGTGACAGAGTGAGACTCCGACTGATAAAAAAGAAGTCTGGGACAGGTGAAGTGAATAATGTGGGCAAAGTCTCTGCAGCAGTTAAGCTGGGCTAGTGGACACGAGGAAGGACATAAGGAAGCTTCTGGATCTGCTGGAAGCGGTCTGTACTAGATCACAGCAGTGGTCTCATGGGCAATACCTTTGTACAAATACACTGAGCTCTGCCTCCATTGAACTGTACATGATGCACACCACTCTCTGCCCTTTTTAGCCTCACTAAAAGAAAAAAAAAGAAAACTAAGCTAAAGTGCAGATTGCTCAAATGTCAGATCCCTTTGCTTGTGGTTTGCTGCACATGTC